GTATGCACTTAGCGGTTGAAAGATGCACTTGGGGCCGGATTTCACTATCGCGTTCAAATCTTAAACGCGAAGCTTAATGGTCCCCCAATTTTTTTCTTTCCGCGTTGTGAAAAAGCTGACAAAAGCACGCTCGCGGTCCGTCACGCGGTTTTTCAGGTTTCTAGAGCCTCTTTCCAAAGCGAAAGAAAATAAAGAACAGTGTGACTTGTATAGCGTACAGAAAACAATTAATTCCGTGGTTTCTGAAAGTGCTCTACAGCTCAGTGGGCATACTTTGGGTTTAATCCAATATTAAAATTAAATTGTAAATAAATATAATTAAGTAATTACCTTAGGAGGAAACAAAAATCGTCTGAGTATCTACAGGCTCATTGTAATAGTATTCGTTCAGTTCAATTGGCCTCTGACGCGCCTTTCATTATCAAAATCCTGGCTCAGGTTATTTCGGACCCCCTGTATGTGTACAAACACACACACACACACACACACACACACACACACACACACACACACCACACACACACATATATATATATATATATATATATATATATATATATATATATATATATATATATATATATATATATATATATATATATATATATATATATATATATATGTATGTATGTATGTATATGTATATATATATATATATGTATGACGGTATGATGAATGGGAGACATGGCCTGGCTTATACGCCATGTTTATTCCATAAGCACTTCTTCCTTCTCGGCCTATACCAACCATCGCTTCATACGTCACATGATTCCCCCTCCCCAGAAAGAATGCATAAATTACGTAAAAGTAAACAAGTGGTTGAAAAGTCACAAATGTCAAAATTCACAATTGCTTCTATGATCCAGAGGAGTTCCGTAAACTTTCAGATTTCAGGAGAGAGTGCAGCAGTCTGGTTAACGCAGGAGTTCGGGTCGGCGAGGCTGACTGTGGCGTTCTGGAAAAGATAGCCACGTGTTGCACAACTGCACTGACCATGACACGGCTTCAGTAGCTGCGACGAACGAACGAGGTTGGACGTACCTGTAGCCTTTGAAGGTCGGACGTCGTAGGCGCCAAATTTTCTGTAGTGGGCGGTGTATTTTGTGTCGTGGTTGAGACAGAAGCATTGTTTCCAGCCTGCGTTTGCGAGAACTGAAGTTGATGATACGATGTCTGTGTTCCTGCATTTTGCAAATGGTAGCGTTCAGTCTGTTTTGTGGTTTTCTGTGGTGGTATCTTCGTCGGAAGGATTGTACACGATGTGTTGATATCTGGTACAGAAGACTTCCTTGACGTTTTCTTCTACGAATATGGTTCAGATGTTGACTTGTCTTTCCTTTAGTTGGTGTCGTTCCTGACGACCATCCTTAAGCCGCAAATCTGCTTGTGATCTTATTTTAGTTCGTGGTAGTGCTTGATGTAACTGCCGTACTTTCCAGAATTCTTTGAGTTATTGATGGCACAGCTGATGTAGCGGAACCTGACGAGGTGGTACTCCTTTGGTAGCACGAGCCTGCTTTTCTTTGATAGTTGGTGTGACCAATAAATAGTTGGTGGTCGTTGGGTTGTCGTGCTCCTCAAAAGAAAATGAAGGTGGTGCACTAGAATTGACAAAAAGGTCTTTGGAGGCTTCTTCTGCACTATTCACTACGAAGGGCTCTTGAGCTTGGCAGCCTGCGTTGTTCAATTTGTCTGAGCTTTCTGGTTTGTTTCGACTGTCTAGTGTGTGTGTATCACACGGTAATGAATGAACCCGTCCGGAAGGAGCATGGCTTGACAGGGTATTTTCGTGAAGCGTCAGGTCGTCTACCATGGTCGCGGTGTCCTTATGATGCATATGGTGATTGACAGGAGCGCTTGAACAGCCGCGTGATGGAAAACCGCGTGGTGGACCGCGTACGTGAAACGAATAATTAAGAGCATCAGGTCGGTCAGCAACGTCTCGCGTCGTATGCTGGAGCCAGGACTTTCGAAATGCTGACTTTCGTGCAAAAGGGAGGCGCGCTTGATGGTTAGGTTCTTCCCAAAACACGCATGGTTTTCTGAAAGTAAACTCATGTGCCACTTCGTCTTGTGGCACTTGTCGATTCACGTTGGGCTTCCGAATGCTTGAGGACTGCTTAAAGAATTGACGATAGTGCGCGGTTTTCTCCTGATGGTTGGCAATAAGTAGGTCTTAGTCATAGTCATTAAAACGGGTGATCATCTCTTCTTTGATCTTTTGCCATGACTCGTCGTTTTCGAAGATGTTGGTGAGGTAAAACTTAAATGCCTCACCAGAGATTCAGTCAGTGAAGTTCGTGATTATCTCCCGTTCCGACCATGATGCAGCGGTAGCGTGGAGTTCGAACAGGTTGAACCAGCCACAGGTCCATCGTCCGCTGCTCCGGTGTACTTGGGGATGGGAAAGTCAGTCGATGGTTCTGTAATGATACCGGTAACTGCATGCGCCTGGGATCACCTCTTCTGTGGTCGGTATTCAGTTGAGGCGTATTGCCGGTGGCTTCGTGAATGATGTGAGGCTGATGAGCGGGGGCCAGGTGCAGGTGGTTCTATATATATATATATATATATATATATATATATATATATATATATATATATATATATATATATATATATATATATAAATATATATATATATATATATATATATATATATACATATACATCAATATATATATATATATATATATATATATATGTATATATATATATATATATATATATATATATATATATTGCACTATTGCATCTGATAATGGAATTTGCCTTTCCTTATGAAGTTTTTAAACAGTCATGATGTCACGCTTGTTATTGAATCTACGTCATCCCAATCACCCGAAGGCAGCAAACGCGGACAAGTCTCTCTTCTACAGAAGCCATGGCTATTATTTTTGCCATCACAGCAAGCCCCTGTTTTACTGGTTACGACGATTAGGCATGGTCAGGGAATAACTACTTTGATAACAATCATCTCTGAACAGCCAGCATTTCTGGACAACCTGCTTGGGTGACACGGCTTTGAGAAAGTGTTCATCCAAAGGCTGCTTTCTGTTAGGGGCGCACACGCAACATTCCTCTTCATTGTAGTGTGGCGCATGCTCGACAGATGGCTTGAAAGTACAGAAATGAGAACAAATAAACCATTACAACCCTCTCCTGCCTCACCCGTCCCACAAAAATGCTCCTTCAAGCGTAGTCAGCGCGTCGATTTCTTTTTTCCGCGGCACACGAATGCATCATATGATTGCTTGGTGGTAGGGTGTAGTATCACTGAGCATAGGTGGCACCAGATGGAGCCACGGCAGGCCTGTTGAATTTGGTGCAATTTTTAAAGACACACAGAAAGTGCACACTACACTTTTTGAGCCAGTAAAATTTGAACCACTGGACTGATCAGCATATAATTTGTACCATAACAATTAGGACAACGAAAGAAAAGAAAGGTTGCGGAAATAATTTCAATTATTCTGTTATGATGTTTTGGAGACAACAAAAAAAGAGCGAGACTACGAAAGTACAATTTTTCTGAATATTTGCCTCTGGTTTGTAAAAAAATAAAAGCCTGAGTACGAAATCTGTCTGCAACATTTCCTCCATACAATAAAAAGGAATACAGTGCCGAAAACCCTGTGTAAATCTGACCGAATTAGGACGAGCTAGAACTTCAAAAAGTACACATGTATTATCTATTCGCAACTTTCACAGATGGTGGCGTCGCCATGCGGCATCCGTCGTAACTTTCGTTTAGGGGATGCCCACGCAGCCAGCCCATGCCATCGTTCAGTCGGCCCCACTTTGGCGGCTTGCTGGTGCTTTATATTTTGTCGCAGGTAATATATACTAAAGTTATTGTGACGTTCGACAGTTACTTCGAGTCGTAGTAGCAATGATTTTATCTTTATTGTTTGCTTGCTGAGCTAGAAGAATCACACAACATGTTGGATGCTGCTGTGCAGATGTGCAGTGAAACGCGAGGCTTCCTGTTTTTCACGAGCACTTGCTCTTTCCCGGCCGTGGTACGAGCAGCGTTCACAAAGCTGTACACCGCAGCAGACGATGTGCCCGGCGTTCGAAAATTCTTTTCTTTCAATATACGCCGCACACGCGTTTCTCAACACGCAGTGTGGGATATAATGCATACTAGAGTAAATGACGTTCTCAGCGAAACCATGAGAACACGGTGGCTGCAGCCGAAAATTTTACACAGGTCGAAGTGACGGGCACAGCAGTGGCGGCTGCCGGCGCGCCGGCTGCACGATCCCCCAAACGACAGCTATGTTGGGCTTGCACCAGCACCCTCACTTTGCGGTGAAATTTGCGAATTGGTGCTCGCACTGGTGAGCCTTCTTAACCTCCCCGCCTTTCTTCTTATTTTCTCGCTCTTTTTCTCTTTAGCGGCGGACCTACGTGACTTTTACGACTCTATGGCTGCACAATCTGCGCGAGTTAGTGGCTAGTGGAACAGTGAAGGTGGTGATATATGCGGGCTGGCACCTGTCTTGTTTATGTGTTCCTTCTGGGTCTCCGTACCTGTGCGTTTCGCGCTACAAATATGAAAGGCAATGGGAAAACGTCGTACGCACTGCTGTCCTGACATTAGGGCTTATGATAAAACTTTTTGTGATCGGCCCAATAATGTTAAGCTTGCTATTGTCAAAGCATACTAAGAAATGTGTGTATTTGGTACACATCCTGCAGTATGGTCGTTTCTTCACTACAAATGTTGTGAAGGGTTTGTCGATTTGCAGTACGCAAGTATACCCCCTCTACATGATGTCTACACTGAGCTTTTCCGACCAGAATCAATTTAATATCTACTTTGATATGTCGCGAAAAAGCTGAATATATACAGTTCACAGTTATGTTGATTTACACTTCACACAAAAAATAGTTAGTATCGTCTTTTTGATCGCTGCACACCCAGACGTATAATCGAAAAAAAATGATATTTCTCAGTTAGACTAACGACGTGCAGACAATGTAGTATGACATGCCTTATGCTTGGCGATGGCAGGGATGAGCACATTTGGATCCGGGTACGCCAAGACGACCATAGTGTCTCCTCGAGCCAAGATGCTGTTCAACATGAGGACACCTGATGCGTGGGTGAAAGGAGCCGTGCCAATGTTGATATATTGACGAGCGCTTTTTGGTCCTGCCCTGCTTGAAAAGAGTGAATGAAGGAAAAGTTGGCATTAGGCATCTTGAAGTGGACTTCCGCTAAAACATGTGTCTGCTTTACTTTTATGCTGCATTTAGTCACACCATGACCACGTGGTATTACTTGTAAACACTGTGCTTACGGCTCATTGTTCATGCTCGAATATCGCCTAGTACTTGGGATGTATTTTTCTAAATTTTAGATGTGAAGCGGCTCTTTCACTAGCCTGTGTAACCCTGTCCGTCCGTGTCTCCGTGCCAACGCGCCACACCACGCTCCTCTCCCCACAGGTGTTGAGGTGCTGCCACCCTTCGTAGCGCGCGGTGACCTCACTCTCTCCCTCGCCTGCCACGTGCTCGCCACCTGTCACCTCTCTCTTGCTTAACCCTTTCCACTGCTCACAACGTACGAGTACATATCGAGTGAACACTCTTTCGGTTTGTTTATCTGCGATGAAGATGACGCCGGAAAGCGAAGCTCCTTCGCCCACCAAAACATGCACAGAAGCAATTTGGCCTAACCCGGCCGTCGCTGGCGTCGTGAGGGTTAGCAGAGCCGATATCGTTCGTGAATGGTGACGGCGCACCTACAACACCAACGAGGCGTGAGCCAGGGAAGCCGAACCAAAGTGTCCGCAGCGAAAGACCAACGACACCGACGAGGCGTGAGTAAAAAAACACCGATCACGTCCGTTTGCAATGCTGCTGCTTCGCATGCCATCAGGGTTTCCTTTGGGGAAATGGTTATTTTTATGATGTAACATTTGGTGGTGTCATTTCACTTGTTTTAAATTACTAAAGTGAAAATTTGGTTAGTCTATGAAGAAAAAAGATAGAAAACATGTGTTGCAACTACGTGAAGTGGCTGATTTTGAAATGGCATGTTGCCTGTTTAATTTTCTTGATAATAAAATGATTAAAAATAGTTTTTTACTTTATTAAGAAGAATATGAAAATCTTGATGGTGCGCATTGTCGCCCCATCTCCATGTGCAGATGAAGTAGAATCTTCAAATTTATCGCTTCGCCTTCTCGCGCTCTCTCCTAAATTGTCTTCCGCAGCAGAAGGCTAGCGGCGACGCAAATCAGTGTAACCATCGTTTTTGCAGCAGTTGAGTTTTTCTTTGAAAAATGCAAGTTGGTATTTGTTTCCCTTATATCTGTTCAAGTAACTGCGGGTATCGAGTGTTACGCTTAGAAGTTAATTTCTGGCAGCAATAGTTGTAATCAATCAATTAATAATTTATTGAACGTGCCCAGGAACAACCATAAGGTCTTTGTATAGTCGCACGGAAAAATAAAAGGGTAAAATTAAACGATACAATATAGTCTACAGAAAAAATATAAGAAAAAGAGCAAAAATGAACAGACAAAAAGAAGTCTGCGTAAAATCTAAAGAATATAAGACAAAACGAGAATCATGGAATGACAATGAAAATAAAGGGGAATATGCACAACTACGTAGAAGGCTTCCTGAAAAACAAAAAAAGGACGAATCTGTACATTGTGAAAAACTACCATAAGGCAGTGCAAGGATGAGATAAAAACAATAGCTGTGGGCGGTGAAAAACATAAAAACCATGATAGTTAAAATTATATAGACTTTGTACTCTGTTAACAGTACAGTGTTGAAAGAAGTTGGCAGGTACATCCAATGGTCAATTCTCTCTGGTCAACTTACGCGGAATCCAAAAATTTACACATCTAAGAAGCAAAGAGCAGGACATAATTCCGTGAACTAGTTTTTAAGGATTAAGAGGTTAGCGCTACTTCGTCAGCAGTGAAGTGATGGCAATGATAATAACCTGACCATGTTAGAACGAGATTCAGAGTCATTTCTAGCAAAACGATGGTTGTAAAATGTCATGAATATTTTCTGGACTCGCTCAATGGCGTCACTGCCAGATTTAGCGATGTAATTCTAAACTGAGGCAGGCATATTGCGGTGTTCAATTTCTTGAAAACTGTAGGACAACTGAATTTTCGAGAGGTGCTGCAAACGCAGCTGAGAAAACGAAGGCCTCGCATTGCAGTACGTTTAGTATGAGCAGTAAAATTGAGCATGCTATCAAAAAGAACACCAAGATCACTGACCTAAAAATATGAATAATATAACAATATTTATTATTTATATTCTCTTATATTGATTAATATTAACAGTAATGTTAATATTAACACTTATTTAAATACAATTATTCTCTTTCATACACTTTGAGGGTCGATACATTGCTCACTTTTCTAACCTAGTACTTGACATATAATGGAGAGCTGGTATTTATCTAGCCTAGATCCCAGGAAATCGTTATGTTGCGAAACCTCTACATTATTATTTGAGTGATCTAGTGTCTGCCGATTGCAAAAACAACAATGTTCCGCATGTTTTCAAAAAGGTTGGCCCACTCGCATCCTATTTTTGTTTATTCACTCAAGCGGGGCATTCAGGCAAAGTATGATTTATGCTGCTAAAATAGCATAGTCCGCGTACCGCGAATCGCTTACTATTCTTCCTCCAATTTTCCCTCCGATTTACCTCTCTCATCGAAATCGCATTTTGATTACGTACTATTCATATGATTTGAATGAGTATTAAGAAAGAAGCAACGTCTTCGAAAGCAATTGAGAAAAACGGCTGTTATAAACATCCCTATAGTTTGCTCTCAGCAAGTGAGCGACGCTAGTGATGTTGTCAAGGGCACGTTTTAGGGAGGAAAAGTACCAGAGAAAAAAACACGACAATTAAAAATGTTTCAGAGGCACCAGTGTTCTCAGGCAGAAGAGGAAGAAGGCCGCGTGCGTCATGGCTCTATTTTGCGTGGCGTGGCATCACTTCAGCTGTTGTTGCCGTCTGAGAAGCCTACAAGGATGCCGGCCTGCCTGCCCAAAAGTTCGACGGAAGGTGGTGGACCCTTCGCGACTCACTGTGAGCCTCCGAAGAACCAGCGGCAGCATGGACACACCAGCATCGGCACCGCAACCATGAACGCGGCAGCCATGAACGAGTTGAGCCGTTGCCACCGGAATCAAGGTATCGGCTCAAGCTAAGCTGCGACTTTTGTTCGCTTCGACGATCTTCACCTTGGGCAGTTTTACCGTTTTCGCCACCACTTGGTTCATGCTTCTTATCACCCTGTACACGTTCTACTTTCTTTTCATCACGGGCAAGGTTGCGTATGCACATCCACCGCTTGGGTGAAGTGGAATGAACCATTCAGGCCACCGTTGTGGCACCGTAGTGTCCGCACCAAGGCTGGTTTTTCCACTTCCATCGGCAGCCTCTTTGTTGCGTGACATCGTAGACCTTCATGTGCTCACGTGCCGTGGTGGAACGTGTGCGAAACGTGTGCGTCGCAGTTATTCCATCGAATGCGTTTTTACGCATTCACATTGCCATAAAGGATTGAAACTTAAATTACTCTGATAAAATGTTTTGATCACGGCCTTTTGTGTCATGTTCTACTTTTCTACCACGGTTGTATATCGTGGTTGAAGAAAACATTTTATAAAACAATTTGGATCGTTATAATGAAAAAACACTGTCTCGGTGGAATACGAAGTGAAATCTAACCACCGTTTATGGTCAGATTTGATGCGGTAATTCGCTAACTGCTCACTTTACGCTGCGAGAACGATGTCGAGCCAACCGTCACATATGTTTAAGTGACCTGTTTGATTTCTGAAGCCCAACGCCAGCTTGTCCACGTGAGCGAGCCTCATTACCTATCAGTTTCATAAGTCTCCTAAGGCACTGTACACTATTTTACGTAAGGAGGGTTTTCACAGTTCCATTTAGAACACATGTGTAAATTAAAGTATGCTTGAAGCTAGACAATTTGGCAGAATCGCATGTTTGGTTGGTTTAACTAATTAAGAGTCTCGAATAACTGGGGAATTTTTTGAGAATGCAGATTTCCAAACACAGGATGATTGGCAAAAAGAGACAATTGAATTCTTGAATGCGAACAGTCAAAGATATAATTATTACGAAAGAAAAAATATAAACCAGCTGACCTCTTTTCGAGTCTTGCTACAAATGGGTGTAAGTAAATTATCCCATTCCAGAGTAGTTCCGACACCTCGTGGGATTCGTCCGTGTGCTTAAAGTTTTTGAATAATTCACTCTCGAATTGTCAATTGCTAGCTTTCGGATGAGCTCAGTTGATGGAGTTACGGCCCACCAGGAAAGGCGTTGGCCCCGTGTTAGATCCGCGGTGCAGGACGGACTTTGCGGCAACGAAGACGCTCTGTTTCCAAGAAATCCGTATGGGTTTCCTTGTAGCGTAGTGCTGTAATCGGGTGGTGGTCAATTCTCTTTTCTGAACCCTCCCACCAGCTTGCGAGTTTCTGCAGAACTGCCTTGCAAGATATAAATATTTGTTGAGGTATTTTAATGTGTTAACTTGCATTGCTCTTGGCAACAGTAGCATGATTGTGTTGTCAAGCGTATCTACCAGCGCAAACGTTCACACGGGTTTGTTGCTCAACAAATTAAAATCTAAACAAATGGCTACAAGATTGTATAAACAATTTACGGAAACTTTCTTGCGAAAAGAATCGGCGTTTTGGTGCTTTTAAGGAAACTTAATATTGACGAGAGGGCACTAAAGAACTCGCTTCGCACAAACGTCGGCGTCGGTGTCCGCATCGCAAGTTGGGATCGAAAATTCAGCGTAGTCCATTGTCGAAAACTGCAGTACGATGCATATAAAATAAACAATAAAAAACTTCGGTTCCAGTTAGTATCAAACCCAGGCCATCTATGAGGTGGAATGGTGTTTTACTACTGAGCCATGCTATTGCGTTAAACAGCTTCGAGGAAAAACAAACCAAAATAGACAGTATGAATGTGGTCTTGTAGGAGGAGACTCCTTAACGCGTCATATATTGCGTGGCAGAAGCATAAAAATGCGCAACGAGAGGGTATTTAAAAGGCCCACCTGTTACAAAATCGATCAGTCATGATTATAATCATCTTCTTCAACAAAACAATCCGCAATGTGAGCA